CACGTCGTAATAGTAGTGAATCGTGCTGCACCACGTCGTAATAGTAGTGAATCGTGCTGCACCACGTCGTAATAGTAGTGAATCAAGCTGCACCACGTCGTAATAGTAGTGAATCGTGTTGCACCACGTCATAATAGTAGTGAATCGTGCTGCACCACGTCATAATAGTAGTGAATCGTGCTGCACCGCGTCGTAATAGTAGTGAATCAAGCTGCACCACGTCGTAATAGTAGTGAATCGTGTTGCACCACGTCATAATAGTAGTGAATCGTGCTGCACCACGTCATAATAGTAGTGAATCGTGCTGCACCGCGTCGTAATAGTAGTGAATCAAGCTGCACCACGTCGTAATAGTAGTGAATCGTGTTGCACCACGTCATAATAGTAGTGAATCGTGCTGCACCACGTCATAATAGTAGTGAATCAAGCTGCACCACGTCGTAATAGTAGTGAATCGTGTTGCACCACGTCATAATAGTAGTGAATCGTGCTGCACCACGTCGTAATAGTAGTGAATCAAGCTGCACCACGTCGTAATAGTAGTGAATCGTGTTGCACCACGTCGTAATAGTAGTGAATCGTGCTGCACCACGTCATAATAGTAGTGAATCGTGCTGCACCACGTCGTAATAGTAGTGAATCAAGCTGCACCACGTCGTAATAGTAGTGAATCGTGTTGCACCACGTCATAATAGTAGTGAATCGTGCTGCACCACGTCGTAATAGTAGTGAATCAAGCTGCACCACGTCGTAATAGTAGTGAATCGTGTTGCACCACGTCGTAATAGTAGTGAATCGTGTTGCACCACGTCGTAATAGTAGTGAATCGTGTTGCACCACGTCGTAATAGTAGTGAATCGTGTTGCACCACGTCGTAATAGTAGTGAATCGTGTTGCACCACGTCGTAATAGTAGTGAATCGTGCTGCACCACGTCGTAATAGTAGTGAATCGTGCTGCACCACGTCGTAATAGTAGTGAATCGTGTTGCACCACGTCATAATAGTAGTGAATCGTGTTGCACCACGTCGTAATAGTAGTGAATCGTGTTGCACCACGTCGTAATAGTAGTGAATCGTGTTGCACCACGTCGTAATAGTAGTGAATCGTGCTGCACCACGTCGTAATAGTAGTGAATCGTGCTGCACCACGTCGTAATAGTAGTGAATCAAGCTGCACCACGTCGTAATAGTAGTGAATCGTGTTGCACCACGTCATAATAGTAGTGAATCGTGTTGCACCACGTCATAATAGTAGTGAATCAAGCTGCACCACGTCGTAATAGTAGTGAATCGTGTTGCACCACGTCATAATAGTAGTGAATCGTGCTGCACCACGTCGTAATAGTAGTGAATCAAGCTGCACCACGTCGTAATAGTAGTGAATCAAGCTGCACCACGTCGTAATAGTAGTGAATCAAGCTGCACCACGTCGTAATAGTAGTGAATCGTGTTGCACCACGTCGTAATAGTAGTGAATCGTGCTGCACCACGTCGTAATAGTAGGTGAGGAGAAAAACATTAAACTTGCCGCTGTTCTTCATTCAGCTTGTCTCGCCATCTGGCAAGTGGGGCAACTGGACATTTCTTCTCGGCTAGCTTGTTTATTAACAATAGCTTGTGCCACATTTGTGTGCTCCTTGCTCTTTTCATGTTTGTCAAATAAAGGATGGTTGAAATTCTTTGAGAATTTCCTTTATAAAACGCACCTGTTTTGTCTGCTAGATGTGGACTTGATCGGCAAATCTTGCACCACATTTCAGTGCACTCATCGTTAGCTTCAAGCAACAAAGTATTTTTTTTCGGCTCTGGCTCCAGTTGGCGTTTCTTTGTAGGTGGCGAAACGCCAAAGAAGCTGCTTAATGTCTGTTGCTTTTTGGACATCTCTGACAGTATAACTTAGTTGACAAGCAACATGTCATGTGTAAGGTTAGATGAGAAGATCGGTTAAGTATGCAAAGGTGCGGAGTAACCGTCGCATTACGCATTCCTGATTTTTGTCGCACATGCATAGCTGCATACCAGTTATGTGCACCCGTGGTTATAGACAATATAAAAATATTTAGTTTGTTACCTATTAATTTTATCTGTATGGTTACTGTGTTTTATAGAGAAAGTACTGATGGACTGTGATGGATCAGACTCTGAAAATGAGACTGGAAATGGTGCTTCACCTTCAGATTCAGCAGGTATGTAGTCAGCTACTGAAAGGGAATGATAAGAAAGCTAGAAAAGGCTTCTTACGTCTTCTTAAGTCTCACCAGTTTAAACATTCACGTGATCTTAAACTATTCGGTAGGCTACTTGTGCGCTGTGGAGATTTCTGTCGGGTTTTTTTTCGTCACACATACAAGCCGCCTCACAAACAGCTCACGGGTAACAAACTTTATTTTTCGTGGATTATATCACTTTAACAGTCAAAAACATGCGAAAATCATGTCAATTTCGGTCTTGGTGAGTATCCTCTAAACACATTCGGTTATGTCTTAATAAGCATACATCGCACGTGACCGTATAATGTTGGTACTACAGGATCTGTGCACGAGCTCACAGTGACAGCAGCCATATGTCTAGTCTGTCAGTAATTTGGTTGTCAAAACAACAAAACATAGCTTTAATTTTAATGAATCAGGATTAATATCCTATGTATTTAATTTAGTCAGGACTAAAATACTACCCTGTGTTATTTTACATTTGATTAATTTATTCAGTCTCTGTAGTATTTCTGAATACTAGTGTCAGACCTAAGCAAAAACTTTTCTCTTTATAGGTATCTTTATTCTATTGTATTTATTTGTGCTACTTTTTTTCAATTTAATTCAAAGATTGAAATCAAGCTTCCTTGTGTTGTATAAATTCTTAAGAACAAAAATACCCCATTGTAAAAATGCAATGAGTGAGCATATAGGAGATAAAAGTAATTTAAAAAAAAGTCTAAACTTCCCCCATCAAATAAAAAAAATATTTTTTAATTAAATCCCCCCCCCCCCCCCCCCTGGATAAAGACTGTAAAGACTGCACAATTTGTCAAGAAGAAAACACTGTGGGGTGCGGCAGCTTTAGTTAGGTCCTATAACTAAAATGTTTAGTTTCTAAAGGCTTAAACATGTAAAGAAAAGAATTTACTTCTTCAATTTCCCAAGCAGTATTTTATGGTTAAGACCAATAAAGCCTAAATATTGTCACATTTTCAACCATGATAACTAGATTTTAGCAAACATGTATGTATAAAACTGTAAAGAAATGAGAGAAAAAACAAAGACCATGTATTTATTTGATATGTTATTCACGTTCATGTCGTGTGGGAATAAAATAAAAATAACTTTTATCCCAATCACAATTACTAATATTTATTTTTATTTTATTCAGTATCTTCACAAAACCCACGGAGAAAGTGGTCTAAAGAGGAGATCCAGGCTGTGGAAAACACTCTGATGAACAACATCCACTCTGGGAAGGTTCCTGGTAAAGCCCAATGCATGGAGTGCATTGAAAGGTCACCAGCAGCACTTCAGGGGAGAAGTTGGGAGGGGGTGAAATTTTATGTTAAAAATCGTATGCTTTAAAGCGAAAAATGTAAAAGTCCTTTACCTAGATGGGGGTTTATTTTCTGTTTGGGCAACAAGTTCAAAATGTGTTTCAAAACTCAAGTGAAAACACTGGTACTTAAATAAATGTTCAAGAGCATTAAGAAAACATAGATTCTTGTTTTTTTTTGTAATAGCCCAAATGTCCAAACTTCTCTTGGGGAAGTTTATGGGGGTTCTACGTCAAATGTCTTCTACTCAAAAGAATTCGGTGTGGTCCCAAAATTGTGGCACACTTGCATAAAAAATATAGATGGATAAACAGACCGATATAAAGACATACAGATGCCAGATTGATAGATAATACAGATAGATAATACAGTTTTGTGTTGAGTTTAAGGATAAAAGATTTCCTCTTTTCTTTTTCTCTTTTTAAGAAGAGAGAGGACAACAAAATCATCCTCACTGCTTAAAGACTGTTTTGTATTGTTTGGCGATTTTTTCCACAACGAATTAATACATATTGGACTCATGGGGCTTCCCAGGTTTCTGTACGTGACAAATTTGTAGTATTACGAATAAGAAAAACACAAATAGCAGTATATTTCGCAACCCTGTTGAATGCCAGGCATGTGCTGTTTTAATTCAGAGTTGATTCCAGTATGCGCAGATCATTATTCAGCAAACACAATTATACCCGTGGGGTCAATGCCCCATGACCATTTCCTGCTTGTCATACAACATGACTGTCTTATTTATCAAAATGTGGACCTTTTCAGATTCTCAGAGTTGAAGAAAAATAGATTCCTGTTAATCAGGAAGTGAGGTGAGGCTGTTGTCACTTTTTACATCCATACAAATGGTCTATTCAAATATAGGGAATTAGTGAATTGTAAAATGAAGTAAAAATCCATACAAATATAAATATAGACAATTCTCCCTTTTAAACAATTCTTTAATGATTATCTAAACTTAATATTTATTGTTAATCTGGTACAGGTTTAAATTTGTGTAAAAAAATCGTTAATCTACAGATAACTCATAATAGTGCCACACAGTGGTGGTTTGTGGTAAGACACAATGGGGACGTCCCCACCAGAATAGAAAAACCTGACAAATATTAAGCTTTCTAAAATTAAGAATTTATGATAATAAAGTTGATTTTTGGGATTCAAAAATTCCCCCAGACACTTCTGACTTAAAATGATGGCATTATTGTATTTAGAAATTGCTGTCCCCACGTGTCACCTTCTAGTCATGAGTCCCCACAACGTAGCAAAAACAAGTATGTGTGTGTGTGTGTGTGTGTGTGTGTGTGTGTGATCTCAGAATAAACCCCCTTCAGGTGTGTGTGTGTGTGTGTGTAATCTCAGAATAAACCCCTTCAGGTGTGTGTGTGTGTGTGTGATCTCAGAATAAACTCCCTTCAGGTGTGTGTGTGTGTGTGTGTGTAATCTCAGAATAAACCCCTTCAG